TGTTGAAACTTGTGGTGCGGAGTCTGGAGATATTTATCCCTGAGGGATCTCAACCAGACGCCTGCATTCACGAGTCAGGAAGAAAAAGAATTCGAGCCAGCTTTATCACGTTGACGTTGCAAGAGTTTGTATTCGGATTGCTGAACCATGCTTAGTCAGCCGCATAAACTTCGAATCTCGAAAGCAGTTTCAACTCCAGCTTATCAGCATGGCTTTTGCTTCGCTTACTTTGTTTCCTGGCATTTGTTTGTTTGGCTTGTTGCACTTGCATGTTCTCGCTAGCTTCATTTCATGTGTAGCAGATGTTCGTGGGACATGCTCAGGTTGCCTTCCATCAGACTGACAGCACTGATCAGCTTGACTGCTCTTTCCAGTGCCTCTCAATGTCCGCAGGCATCAACTGGTAACTGGAAGGGTTCATGCAGAACATCATTCTGTTTGAGCTGTTTGCCCTGAACCCAACTGAGTCAAGGTAAGTTCCGAAGTGAATTAGAAGCCGTCATCTTTTTTCAGAAGAACTGGACTTTCAAAACCAGTTTGTGCAAGCCTGCTGATGTGCGCCAGAGCTTCAATGCAATTTTCGCGGACATGCATGATGGTGACCAGAAAGAGGCAGGCGAGCTTGCAATCCGCTTGATGAATTTCTTTGCAAAGACTGCGCAGGTAAAAGAGGGTCCAGTCTTGCCCAACCCTTCACCCGCCTACCCGCATTGAAAGCTGTGGCTACGGTTAACCTTTGTCTCGGTACCATAATCCAGTGGGGTATGACTACCAGTGTGCATCATCTCCATGGCACACAGGAGCAATCACTGTCTAAGGTAAGTGATTCAAGCAAACAACGCAAGAAGAGCAAACGGGTTATTGTGGCGGGCGTGTATTGCATGTGGACCTGACAAGATGCTCTCACTTCTGGAGCAATCAGGGTTGCTTGGCAGTGTCCAGTCCAATTCTTGAACACTCTCATTTTTGCAGACATTTTGTTAAGTCTCTCTCTCTCTATATATAAGTCCTGGTTACGGCTGCCGCCTCTCAAAATGTGAGGCTGGACATGTGCTCCTTGCGGACACACTTCCAAATGTTTGTGGCGCTTCTTCCCGCTTTCAACTTGGTTTCGCAGTTTCGTTTGAATGACTGCTATAAGGGCTGCTGTAGGTATTCACGTGAAAGGTATTCTTGTGCTCAAACCACCTCAGCAGTGTCCCTCAGTCTGTGTTCAATCAGCTGAAAGTTGTGGGAGATCGCTGAAAACCCTGTGGGCAAGTGTTTCTGCTGAGTCTTTCTATTGTGAGTGCAGCCATCACATCACAGCTTTGCTTTGGGTGAGCTAAGATTACCTCCAGGCCAGACTTGTCACGATATCTGGGGCTTGATCGCAGAGGGTCTTGCTGCCAGCTCTGATTCCCCCAATATCCTCTAGGCTGCTGTCTTCGAAGGTGATTGCCTGCTAACCAGGATGTTGCTGGCTATTGCTGCTGTTGTGTCTCCCAGGCCATAGGTTGATGGCCCTGGCCGCAGAGCGATGAACATTGTTGGTGTTGGAGGACCAGTTCTTTGCTGCCAAGAAATGCGCCACCATTTGGGCCTATGCCAGTGTGATGTACTTACTTAAGGAATATTCCGAAACAATACGGTACCCAATTTTGTGAGAAGCTACAGTGCTCTACAGAGCTCTTTTCTTCACCTGCACTGTTGCAGGTGACAGTCGATGGGGCAGCCCTGGAGATTAAGCCGCATGGGAACAACCAAACTTGGCGTGTGCCACTTGGACTGAGTTGAAACCAGTTGTTCCTTTCGAGAGGTGTAGGTTTATATGATTCTAATTTTACTATGGTTTACAACCCAGATGGGTGCCTGGTGTGGACAGCGCCGCTTGTTGTTAACGTCAACCTAGTACGTATTTTTATTGTTAGTATTAGCCAGGATGCACAGATAGTTCAGCTACCTTGTGGCCAGTGAGTGGTAACTGGAGCACATGAGCGACAGCGGGCTTCAAATGATCAAATGAGATTGCGACCTTTTTCACCTAAGGACTGCGGCGCTTGCCGAGAGTTGCACTGCCCTCATCGATTTCAATGTGCCTGGAAAGCCGAATCCACCGCCGGTGAAGCTCCTCATGACGCTTTGGCAACTGGGTTTGCGAAAAGGATTGTCCGCTGATTGCTTTTGATGAGAATAACTAGATGCAGAAGTGATTTGATTACAACATGTTGACCTCGCAGCAAGTTAGACCAGCCATGTTAAGCCTGGAATTTCCATGCTCATTGACCTGTGTTTCATAGGTGGGCTGCAGCAAACTCTGAGAAGGCAAGGACGGCCATTGTGCCCTTTGAATTTTTGTCATTTGGTCCAAGTTTTCAGAGATGTTGTGTGTCCGGTCCTACTTGCTGTCCTACGACGACCTTCGTCAGGGTGCGCTTGAGAAGGTGACCTTCGAATTTAGTGACCCTAGCAGCAGGCGAGGCGAAACCTGAGCAGACCTGAGAGACCGAGACATGGAATCTGTAATTACTGACACTGCGGCAAAGCACGGCCAAGAAGGAACTATTTAAAAAAAAAAAATATGTATATACATACATGTTATGTATATGCACTTGCACCAATATTGGGACCAGTTCAAAGCTCAAGCTTCAATGTAGACAACATGCTTCTTTGTTTTAGCATGCTGAAACTTAGACTCCTTGGCACCTCTTGCGGCAACCAAAGCTGAGTTTGGCACCTGCTATGGTGCCATTGAACGCCTGGGTGCAGCTGGGTGGTAGTCCATCAAAAGCACCACCATGTCCAGCTGCTTTGCTGCACATTGACATTGAACAGACTCGAAAAGCACACATTTCTGATGGTTGATTATTGTTCTGAGATGGTCTTATATGCTGAGTTTCTTGTGTCAAATTTGAATCCACCTCTTTGCTTTGTTCTGTGGCCAAAGATAAGGCTGGAAGCAGGTATTCTTAATCATTCCCTAAGGAATTCAGCGACGCTATTTATGCCGATATTCATGACGGTGATAAGAAGGCTCGATGTGTCCAAGAACAAACTTGTACACATACCGTTCAAGATGATGGCCAATGAGGGGTTTGCCCCTTTATTTAACTTGTTTTGCTTCGAAAAGGTTCACCCCAAATGATGCAGGTTTGGCTCCTTGTTTGACTGAACGCTTTGAAGGCCGTCGAGATCAAAGACTCCAAAGTGAGAATCACCTCGACCAAGAAGAGCCAGACATGGGTGGCTCAGTGAAAACTGGGCACTATATAACCGGAGCTCCTTGTGGCACACCACTACAGAATGGTACAGTTCACAGATTTTCACTAGCTTGTCTGTGAGGGAAGGTGTGGGAACGGGGAGGAATGCAGGACTGGGCGACACAAGGTGTCAGCAAAAACACCAAAGACAAAAGCAGAACATTTTTGCACACGCGATCTTCGCCACTCACACATGCTGTTTTCTGTTTTGGTGCAAAGCTCTGGTTGGTGGGACCTCATCTATAATCGGCTTCAAACGCAAGCCAGAGCACCAGTCATTCACTGCAACCGTCTGCAACACAGACTCAAAAGAAAATGGGCTTGGGACCACAAACGATATCCCACAAACGATCTCCAAGAAAACGGGCAACAGGGATTGAGATGGACTGCAGCTTCGCCAAATCATAAATACCAGCAAGGCTGGAGTCTGGAGTAGCCAGAGCATATAAAGATGTATCAAGTACAGTATTCACTTTCCGTTACACAGGCAACTAGGAAGATCAACCGCAGAGCCACCAAAATCTTTCGAATTTTGCGGTTATTTTGCAAGGTTGTGAAAGCTGATTTGAACGACTTCTGTGGTGCCATGGTGAACTTCAATGTACCAGGCTAGAGCAAGAAGTTGCACTTTGATGCAGTCTTTGCTACCATTTGTTGGATATTTGCTCTTTGACTTGACTCTACTTTGGAGTTTTAGGGAACTTTGACTCTACTTTGGTTTGCAGCGGCATCAACGGTGCTGCCAGATTGCCTTTTCAGCTTCTTTTTGTCAAAAAGTGTCTGTGGCAAGGGAAGCCTTCGCCACCGCCAGTGCCTTTGTTTGCCCGTATTTGGCGGCTCACCCGTACCTTGGAGTACCAGTATGAAACACAAACTGCCGGAAACACAAACTGTCTGACCTGTTTTTGTCTGGTGAGAAGTTGCGGTTCTCGAATTCTCGAACCACATGTTCGGCAATGCCAAGGCCAAGGCTGCACAAAAAACTCGGTGGAATTTACTGATCCCAGCGGCAAGCTGGCTAAGCCTGGCTTTCCATTGGGCTCCTGGCTTCAATTGAATGCTTCACCGACTGCGTGAAAGGACATGGTCAATGGTTGAGATCCCAGTTACCTTTTGAATCACGTACAGGTTGAATGGTGCTGTATAGCTTTGCTTCCCTGCGCTGGCACGTCTACAAAGCATTTTCTGGAAAACCCAGCGGCCTAGTCGGCCAATGTTGAACACCCAGAGCAGGGTCATGCAGACCCAAACGAATTGAAAAAGACTTGGGTGATGTTTTGCGTGGAATCGCAGATTTTTGATCAATTGGCGAATTCCGATTTCTGAGAGAGCCCTTTCTAGTTCGCTTCTATGAGAAAGAAAGAACAGAAAGAACGACAGAAAGAGCCTTTGAGTCGGTGCCACACCCAGAGCATGAAAACAATCATGTGGAATGCCTGTTGCTCTCTGGAATTGGATCCTTCGGGAGTCTTAGGCAAACAATTTCAGTTCGAAGTTGTGGTAAATGGCCATGGTAATGTATCGATTAATTGAAAGCAGAAAGCTTGCATGCTTCTTGCACGCCTTGGAATACGTGTCCGCTCGCAGTACTTTGTAGGATTAGAAGCCATCATGCGTTCTGAGTTACATTTTGGTACTTTGTACATCTATAAGCTGTGCTTTTTCTAGTTTCCTGGGCAGAGATCGAAGCACTCATTTGGCCATAGGTCACCCAGCGCTCAGCTAAGTCAAACCGCCAGTTGAAGGCAAAGCCCACGGCCCCTTCCTTCAGGGTGTAACTCCAGAGCTTTCTTTTTTCCGCAGCGAATGCTTCATTGACGAGCCGCGGCTAAGCCGGGCTCATGTGGAGAGCGCTGCTTCTGTTGTCGCTGACTGTATGCAGCGGCGATGAGAGGCCTCAGTGCACCGAGCTAGGATGCCAAAGTACACGACAAGAGCAAGATCAATGCTTTTACTCTTTTTAATGTTCCAGATCCATAATCCTTTAAACATTATATATATGTATCAAATTAGATGTAGAATGATGTAGAGAGTCAGAGTGTATAGTAACATGACAATGATAAGCGCAACAACGATCTTGCAAAAACTCGTGATGGCCTTTGCTAGGCTTTTGGCTACACGGCTTGCACCCAACTTAGCACTGGGACAACCAGTGGTGCTATCCTCCACTGCAAGGCTTTTCGGCAGCATACATGAGTGAAGTCAACGGAAGTGGCTTCATTGTGTTTCATGCCCTTCTTGAAGCAGCTCTTTCAGAGCGTTTGATGGACGTTTCTTTGCGAACAAGGTACACCTCGGCCGATGGAACAGATACAGATACTGGGGATGGATTCCGTGCCACTGACGGGAACTATGGTACCTTTTTCTTCTCTGGCTTGGGGTGCGCCGAGACCAAGGCAGGACCGAAAGAAAAGCGACGGAAAATAAAAGGATGGTAGGCATTAGGAATTCAAGGATTTCTGTCAGATTGGTAAATGGTGGCTGTAGATGAAGGTGCGCATTAAAGTCTGGAGGTCTGCATTCAACTTTGCCTTCGCTGCCTGAAACAGGCTGAACCTGACCCATGGATGAGGGTGGACTTAGGCCGCGAGGCAGACTCTCGATGAGAGAATTTGTGAGACTTGCCGTGACCAAATCATAAGAGCAACAAGACTCTTTGCCAAACAGGTCCATTGAGTTATGCTTTGAGAGCTCGTTGATGTCTCCAAAGTACAAAATGGTGCAGGTCCCTGTAGCTGTGGTCCGTTTATGGACACGCACTGACTCCGCAGACATAGGCCTTGGCCTACTTCTCAGACTCAGAAATCCGCGTGCGAGTTCAGAGTCATGCAGAGTTGCTTCATCTTGCTTCCCAGAGTTTTTTTGTTGAGCATTTTGGAACAAGGTCCTATTGACATCCGATTGGGGAACACCAAGTTCACATGGCGGGAGAACTTGGCCTGCGCAGAGGACAGCAGAGATTTGTGAGCCCACCCGTGCAAACTATTGTGGTGCTTTACTTCGCAGAAGAAATCAAGTTCCGACTTCGCATACTGTATACGTTGTTGTGTGAGAATGGATTAGAGCCTGGATGCGTGTGTTGAAGGGCGTTACGTTGAGCCAGCAGATCCAGCCAAACATGTTCAACTGCCTGGCGAGAGGCTGCTTGCTTGCGCTTTGTAAGACTTAGGAACCACAAACCATGTTGCCAACCCTGTCGAGTCAACAAAGAGGCAGTTTAGAACCTAGAACATCTCAGGCCAGAACTATATAATATTGCTGTAGTGGCCTTGTCGAGCCATGCTTGCTTTATTCCCCAAACAGGAAAAAGCGTTGGGGTTCTCAATTCTTGCAGAGAAAAAGCATTTGTCACTGAAAGATTCGACTGTGAGCCTGTACCCAAAGGAGCTCACCTGTGCATGCTGCCGAGGCCGTTACTTGTTTCTTGTGCTCCGCGTCAGTGGGAGACAAGTCGCGCCATTTTCAATTTGTGAGATGGAGGTCACCCCAAAGGCGAGAAGATTGAGATGAAAAGAAATCGCGCAGGAATTACTTTGAACATCTGTGGTCACTTCTTTGGTACGATGTGAGGGGCCGACCGGGAACAAGCATGTGCTGCAGACAGCCGGTGGCATGTGGAACCTACAACTATCAGGTGCCTTGCATTTGTAGATGCTTTTCACCCCCCCGAATGATGTGAGCTGTCAGCATTCTGGACCTTGGCATGAAGTTTGCATCAGCTTGCCAGGGGTGGCCCTCGATGCACATGACCGCATACGAATTGTCCCCGACACGGTACTTTGCGGTTTGACTGGTTCCGCCACAATGCATTCGACAGTGCTGGCGCTCACATCTCCCAAGGGAGCGCGTACCGTGACAAGATTGGAAACATTTCGCAACTTTTGAAACGAAAACGAAAAAAACAACACTCCAAGCACAGTCTAGCTTTAGTGAGCAGACTTGAGGCGCACATGGCGACTACAACGACGAGACCTGGGAGAATATCCAAATCAATAGACACTCAACCAACGCTTTAGGTTTGCTGTCTTCCTTCTTTTGACACAATACAATTGTGCATATAAGAATATGCATATGTATGTATATATATATATATAGTTTTTTTTTTTTTTTTTAAATAGTCTAAGATCAGATTATGAAGCATTTGTTGGTTGCGCAGTCTAGCAAACCAGATCATGAATGAAAAATCAAGCTTGGTTGAATGATTCATGTGCACTAAGGAATGGGCATGTACAAGGTTTGTTGGTGTGGTGGAGACGGTGGTTGTACATTGGACGAGCACTTCTCCATGCACGTTGCAACTTTGATAATCAACGGAATGATGCTGACCGTGGCTGGAAATGGGCAAGTGCCCAATCGCACATCTGATATGGTTGATCCCTTGACTGCACCAAGCTACCCTCCAAGCTTCTCAAAGCAGACTTTTTCAAGCACCAAACTACAAAGAACATCCCGAGTTTGCGTTGACCACAAATATGATTTCATATGGCCTGGTATGATTGAGGATGATGAGCCCGCAATCTCTCAAGCCCTCTCTGCACCTTACGGAGCCTTCGCATGCTACTACTTACTTGCTTGCGTACAGCTCTGACTTGGTTTCATTTCAGCACTGCAATGATCATTGCCAAGGAATCGCCGTGTCTGACACACGGATCTTTTTCAGCGAGAGAGAAACACACATGATCAGATACATGAATATTGAGGAAGGTATCGTGGCAGCACCAGACCAACTATTTGCAAGGGAACTTGCATCGGCACAAGAGACAACATTAGTCAGTGTGAAGCTCAAATCAGATCACATGCTTCTTTGGCCAAAACCGACAACCTACACTGCAATCCATTCTTGCCACCCCGCACAAGAGACAGAAGAACAAAAGACACCATTTCCTGTTTCCCAAGGTTGGCACAGAGGCTGCGACTGGCATGTTTCTACATTCTAAACAGTTGGTACTAAGGCAAGATCTACACACTGGCAGGGAAATTCTTTGCGGGCATGCGAGGCGCCTTCAAACACAGCATAGTCAAAAGAGCGAACCCATGAAAAAGGAAAGTTCAGAAACCAATCAGCTCGTCGGTGCAAGGTGATTATCAGCCGGCCTACAATGCAGAGCTGTGGTCACCCAGTGGCCTTGCCTTGGACAAAGATCAGAGGTGCCTTGGCTTTGTTGGCCGCCTCAAAGTGATCCTCCAAAGTATTTGCATCATTTTGCATCCATTCGCCTCCAAACTGAGATTCCTATATATTGCAGATGCTGGCAGCCACCGTGTGCGAAGGATTGACCTGGCGCAAACCCCTTTGAACGCAGGTGGTGGAGAATCAGAATGGTCAGAATGGGCATACTTGCGCTTGAAAGCGGCCAGACAACATCTGTAGGTCTTCGGTCTTGATTATCACTGCATCTTTCTTGAAGCAGCCCCTCTCTGCGTGCAGGTATTATCGAAACGGTTGCAGGCAATGGCTTTAAAGGCCGTGCTGAGGAGGGACAACTTGCTACGCAGGCAGAGCTTGACACCCCCACTGGAGTGGCAGTCGACCTGTAACTTGTCAGGAATATACAACATCACGGAAGCAGTTGGGATTAGATTCGTGCATCACTTTTTGTGCAGCCGACAGTTCTCAGACACCATTTGGTTGGTGAGCTGGTCAAAGTATACAAGGCAGTGAGCATTACCTGAGGAATCAAATGCTGTGGATATGTTCCTCGGCTGCGGATATTTTTGAAATGCAAGAGTGATTACTGTAGGTCCGAAGCATCGAATATTAAGTATAGCCTAGCGACAAAACTGAACTTGGACGCCTTCGTTTTTCCACAGCCTTGGACTGTTGGCCTCAAGTTCTGCAAAGACTGTGTTAGTTGCAGATGCCACAGCAAAGGTGACAGCGGAAACAACGTGTTGCGTGTGGTGTCCATGGAGATCCCAGTCCGCATTCCAAGCAACATGTCCTGAATGGGGTCGAGAGTTTCGCCTCGGCGCATCCGAGTGAAGCGCCGAAGCGCGTTAAGCTATCAAAACATATCAAACTCAAACTATATAGTGACGCAAAATAAACGCAGCCTTTTGGCACAGCATGACTATATATATACAAAAAATCTCGCTATGAAGTGTCATTCATTGCTGCTATTGCTGCAGGCACCAATGAGTTCCGAAGGAATATCATCCTTACGGCTGCAGGCAAGACTCTGAGGCTGTTTTTTACAACTAGACGTGGTAACTCTGTCTACACGTGCCCTGTGGCCGCGACCGTTCACTTTGGCATTTGAGAAAGCTGCGTCTAAGGTGGCGCGACTGGCTCAACCACCAAGGGTGATGGTGGTGTGGCCTGGTTGGCGCGAATGCAGGCAAGCCAACAGTTGTGGAAGAAAACAATTTTCGTTTGTCCAATTTGTCTTGAAACTTCTCTTGCTTTATAAGCCTTCGTTTCTGAGGGACATCGAATGCCACTCCACCCCTTTTCAAAAGCACATGTCAGTCAGCAGTACTGAACTCAACCATACCTGGACTTTGGCTGAAGAAAAGAGACCGGCGGCGTTTTTGCTTTTTCGGTCGGTCTCGTGCGCTCAGGTTATGAGCCCAAGCACGTGAGCGCCATGTCGTCCTCGACCATGCGCAGAAGGCGGCAGGAGGCAGCCGCTGGTGGAGCCGGCGAGCAACGGAAAGCGGAGGCACAAGCTCTCTGCGGATGCAGGATCGAGACGGACGGCGGAGGTGGGCAACACGCCACGGGGTCCCCCTACATCCTTTCGACCACCTATGGCTAGGCCATCTGAGGAAATCCCCCGAGAGCTGGAGAGTGGAGTGGGTGTCGGTTCGTCGTCGCTCAAGTCGGTGAAACCTGGGGAGAATGCTGCAGCACCGTCCACTTCGACCGAGTCGGCTGTGGGTTTGGGGGCACTTCATGATGCGGTTCAAAGAACTTATCAAGTACTTCAACAAGCACTAGCTGGACAACCTCAAGGTCAAGGTCTTTTGGCACCTCTTGGACCTGGCATCGATCCGGCAGCTCGAGGAGGGTTGTTTGGAGATGGAAATGGGTTGATGAACCCCAGAGCCTTGGACTATGGGCATGTGATGCGGCAAACACCGGTTCGGTCACCCAACATCAATCCGTTTTGGAGCCCAGGCGTTCAGGAAGCTGCAAGGAGGAGTGTGACCGGGGGGTCCAACTTGGAGGTGAATGTCATTCTCAAGAAGTTCGAAGGGAAACCATGTGCAGGCAATCCTACTTCAACCGGTCTGGGTGCTGGGTGCACTATGCAGGACTCGGTACGTACCTCACCAGGTCCGGATGATGTTGAGGCGCTGAGGGCCAGGATTCTTCGTGAGGCTGAAGAGACCTTCCAGCGTGAGCTGCGTCGCATTGGTGCAGGACGTGAACCAACGGACACAACCTCGTATAAAACGGTCTCAAGTGGCCAGCATGTGGGAGAACATGTACCGGAAGGTTTGCGAGAACAACCTCCTGGACTATCTCAAGGGCATCGCCCAGTGTCGAGCTCTATGTTGGATCCGGGATCTGGACAGAGGGTTGTGAGGATTGGTGGTGGGGCGTCGACTGCATCGATGACGGAGGCCTTGAGAAACCTTGAACTTCCTGCTCTGCCTTCTCCAAATGTGGAAGGGGAAATCTTGTTTGGGGACTGGCTCACTATGAGCTTTCCTTTGATGGCGGACATCTCGCACAGCGCCAAGGCTTGGTGGGAGGAATCGTTGTCCATTGCGCAGGAGCACTACGCCCGCTGGCTGACTATGAGTCCCTTGGAGCGACTGCGAGCGAAGCCGGCGGTGGTGGTGGAGCCTGCCTTGCAGAGGATTGAACAACGGGGCATTGCAATGCTGTTGGGAGCATTGCCTGACCAGCTTCGACGTGACCTCGCCAGTGGACGACAGCTCTCGGTGGTGCGCATCCTGTACCGATTGCATGTGGCGTATCAACCAGGAAGTGGGGCCGAGAAGACACAACTCCTCAAGAACCTGGTGGAGACCAAGTTTGCCACTGGAACACCAGATCTTTTGACGCAGGTGAGATTGTGGAGGCGGGTTGAGCAGAGCACAGGAACTCAATCTCTCCCTACCTGATCCTGTGGTTCTCATGGTCACTGTACAGCGAATGATCGACAGTGCCACCAAGCCTGGAGGAGCTCAAATGGCGTTTCGAATCGCCAATGTACGGCAGGAGCTGAGGGTGGGTGATGCGGCCACCGTGGAAGCTGTGATGGAGCTGTCTGAGTATGTGCAGGCGGAGGTGGAAGAAGAAGTGTCATTGACTACACCAGTGAAATCTCAGCCGGTGACAGCTACAACTACCGCCGCGGGAACTCAGCCAGCCACATCTGTGAAGGCTATGGCATCTGCCTTTGGATTGACTGACCCTGAGGATCCTGCAAGTTTTGGAAGAGTGAAGAAGGATGCAAACGTGGCACCAGTTGCACCTATGCCCATGACAACGCGGACATGAAGGGTCGATGCTTCAATTGTGGTGGGCTTCACATGAAGAAAGACTGTCCGAATGGGGCGAAGGGTGCGAAGCAGGATTCTAAGAAGGTGTCAAAGGTGAAGACTGTGAGGGACGCTGACAAGCAGGAGACGGGGGAGAAGCTTGGAGTTGATTCTGGCAAGCCTGACAACTCTCGTGCTAGCAGTGGGTCTCCTCCTACGACAAAGGCAGAGGAAGTGGCAGACAAGCCCCAGGGTCGAGACGCTACTGCGGAGTTGTTGTCAGAGGCCACATCCTTGCTCAAGGCCTTGCGCAGCGTGAAGGTGTTGCGATTGAAGGAACTCAACCCACAAAGTGTAGAAGGGTGCGAAACGGTAGCTCTTCTGGACGGTGGTGCAACGAATGGACTACGTCAAGCTCGACCACATGAGGTGCCGAGATTGCTGCCGGTCATGGTGGAATTGGCATCGGGGTCAACAACCTTGTTCCGTGTGAAGGACACAGTACCTTGCTGTCAAAGGACAGCGTCGAGGTGATAGTGCCATTGCACAGACTGGTGAAGCTGGGATACAAGTTGCAGTGGACCTCAGCTGGCGTGAAGATCACCCATTCTCACAGTGGAAAAAATGAGTGCAGATTGCGAGGAGGTTGTCCGGCGCTCCCGGAGAAGCAGGCCCTTGCTTTGCTGGACATCATGGAGAAGGAGGATAAGGGGGAGCTGATGCTGGATGAGAAAGTTCGAGAGTGGTGGTCATCAAAGTTTCCGGAGGTTCCTCAGGAAGTTTGGAACTATATGCGGGGCCAAGATCACTACAGTCCGGAAGAGTGTCCTTGGAATCGGCATCAACGACGACGGCATGCACGGGCACCTGGTGATCATCCACCTCTACTCAGGTAGGGATTCAAAGGCCTGGACAACAGAGAATTGGAATGGCTATGAAATCCTCAATGTGGATATTGCCCTGGGCACCCAGTTTGACATGCACTCAGTTGGAACCTGGCGCTCCCTGTGTCATTTGGCGAAGAACGGACATGTGGTGGCGGTGGTGGGTGGACCTCCGTGTAGAAGTGTCTCCAGGTTGCGACATCGAGAACCTGGTCCGCGGGATGGGAGACGTCTTGGACTGGGAGGCCTGTCTACGACGGAGACCTGACCTTAGCCCATCTGGGCGCGCGAGTCACCAAGTCGCCCAAGGCTGTTCTGGAATTGGCTCGTCATGTTCTCGGCTACCTGGCCGCAACTCCGGATTTGGCGCTGGAATATGGGCCGTGCTCAACGAAGCTTGATCAACACGGCCGGCAGCAGTCGATGTCCAGGCTGGATGTTTGGACGGACCCCTCTTTTGCGCCAGCTGGAGGTCGTGGTCACCAAGGAATCATGGCTATGTGGGGAGGATGCTTGGTCGCCTGGGAATCGAAATCACAAGCCTTTGCCATCTTGAGCACCACTGAAAGTGAGCTTTTGGGCTACATTGATGGATTCACACTTGGTGAAAGTGTGGGAGCGGTGGTCAATGTCTTGCATCACAATATCCTCGAGAGGGAGGGGGCCTTCACTCTTAGGGGGGACAACATGTCGGGCCTGCAGTTGTTGCAGGCTCCATCTGGTCCGTGGAGGACTCGCCACTTGAGGTTGAGAAGCCATGTACTTCGAGAACGGCTTCAACATCGTCTTTGGGATGTAGAACATGTCCCTGGAGCTGAACTGTGTGCGGATTTGTTAACGAAGTCCATCACGCAGTCGCAATCTTGGCAGGCATTCAGAAGTGCAGTTGGTCTTTGTGATACCACTCCACCTTGCCAAGCTCAGCCAGAATCCAGTGACGGCGCCGTGAAGAAGGCTGCGTATGCCGCAATGGCCTCTTTGAGTTTGATTGCAGCGATGCCCTGGGTGGGAGGCCTTCCACGAGTTGCCTGCGTGACCGCATTGGGGGCAGTAGCAGCATTCGTAGCCAGTGGTTTGAGCAAGACGGCAAACTGCTTGTCAACAAAGAGGTCTAACGCATCCCCAACAAGAACGGAGACAAGATGGCCAAGGGAAAATGAACCTGGTCCAAGGAGGATTGTGAAGGAAACAAGATGGCCAAGGGAAAATGAACCTGGCCCACGTAGGATTGTGAATGATGGAGTGGGGTCAAGGGAAATGAACCTGACCCAAAACGAATTCCGGCCGTCGATCGCTCGTTCGACTCTTGCCAACTTGGCACCCCCTCGGACGCGTCGCATTTGAAGCCATGGCGTCCGCGCTTGTGCGCCGTGCGCTCTTCGGTCTCCCATCGAGGATTGGGAACGGACGCCCCATGAACTTTGGATCGGTTTGCAACTCCACCAACAGGCAACGACAGATGGGAGTGCCTGGGCAGTGGAGATGGAGCTGGAGAATGGTGGGTCCGGGTTCTGCGGAAGAGCAGGGTGAGGGCCTTTCATCCTTTGTACAGGGGAACTCCATTCATGATTGAGAGGATGTCTTCGACCAGGGTGACGGTGGCTTTTCATCGAACCAGCAGCCGAGAGCTGTGGCGGCGGGACGAGATCATGGACGATTGGGTCAATTCCCGCAACACCGACCTGGCCGACATCTACGAATGGAGAGGATACAGTTTTTTCTACGCGCGCTTTGCCTCTAGGGCAGATGGAGAGCAGGTGGGACCTATAGCTCTTCGAATTCACTTCCTCCTCCAGGCTCGGTGGCCCAATGTCAACGTGGCTATGGAGCTGAACACCCACTGAGATCTCGGGCGTTGGAGAGGGGACAAGCTGTGAGTTCGGAGGGAACAAGCCAACGACGTGCCAAGGAGGAGGATTCTCTTCCGAGTGCATCGGAGCCGACGGATGGCGAAAGCATAGGCTACCAAGCTCGGCTGCAGGGCTATGAAACTCGAGGAGAAGTCCAGACCATCGAGGGCAGCTGGGCTCGATCGCTTGCTGGTGAAGGCTTGGTCCACGAAGACCTGGATCAGATGCCGGTGTGGATGGGCATTGCAACGACGCCTTCCCATCGGCGAACTGCGGTTGTGGACTCTGAGAGCTCTCACTCCTGCGGCAGCTTTGAGTTTTTGAATGAATGAAGTAATGGCTAAGCCATTAGGGGGAGTGAGGGAAATCGAATGCCACTCCACCCCTTTTCAAAAGCACATATCAGTCAGCAGTACTGAACTCAACCATACCTGGACTTTGGCTCAAGAAAAGAGACCGGCGGCGTTTTTGCTTTTTCGGTCGGTCTCGTGCGCTCAGTTTCATCTTGTCATCTCGTCCCATCAGTTCTTGAGCGCAATTGCACAGGCTCCGTCAGGTGTCGCAGTGTCCTCGGCATTTATCAGCAACGAGGCACCGCTTGCAAACTCTGATTTCTGCCTTCTACACATCGAAGTCGGTGCTGGGAGAGGCCTCAAAGAGGCATTGAATTCCTTGTTAGGTCAGCAGTCTTCGACCGTTTAAATAAGCCAAGTTAAGTCAGCTATTGAATCACCTTTGCCTTTGGCCCACTCCCAGGACGGCACACTGCCAGTGAATGTCTACATCTCCGAAGCAGGTGGCCAGCAGGTGAGGACCATGTCTTTAGAGTACCAGAGCTACCTCGGCGTCATCAACACGTGCCTTGGAGTTCAAACGGAAGCCGGAGGCCCTTTTGGATAAAGAGAAGCTTTGCCACTTTGGCGTTGCAGAGTTTTTTCCTTCATGTTAACTAAGGCTTGTTGGGCGTGGACAACGGGGGAACTACACCAAGGAGTCGGCAAAGCACTCATTCTTCTTGGTCTTCAGTGTCCTTCACCACTCTTTGCTCGGCAGTTCACAGATTCTCTCATTGGTCTTCTTGAGGAGGCATCCCCATTAGAAGCACAAATGGCAGAGATGAATGAACCCTCCGGGGTAGCAACTGACGAAGGACATCCCAGCCACGCAGATCGCCATTGACCTGTCTCTCTCTCTATAACACATAAACAATTATGTATGCAATGCACTGATGTAATGTATATTGTATCATATATATATAATGTGATGGTATGGTATGTATACATTTTTCTAGGCCTGACTGCTGGTGGCATCCAGACACAGATGTGGTTTGGAAGCAATGGCGTGGCTGGGTCCTGGGAGATGAGAGTCAAGGTTGGAGCCCTGACGCTCCGGTTGTGCGGCTTGAACGCTTGAGATCGACAATCCACAAATGGCCTGTGACCCGGTTGCCCTTTTGTGGTCGAAGAGGATGTCAACATTCCCTGCCACCCTGAATTCAACGGTAGTGAGGCGCCAAGCCTTGGCCCCAACACTCCACAGTGCAGGCATGATGCAGCCCCAGTGGAAGGGGGGTCTCATCTTGAACACTGGTACCTTGTGCTGGTGTAGCTTGACTCGTTGTTGTTTGGCCTTAGCGAAGCGTGTGGTAGCCTGCGAGCAACGACGTCCACGTCCACGTTCAGCCTGATGGTGGAGCCTGGTGTTCTTCAGAAATGTACAGTAATGTACAGTATGTATATAAATTATGTAAAGAAACACATATTTTCAGCATTCAGAAAGCAAGGTCGGAAATGCAAGAGACGTGCACAGGACTGGTCTACATCAGTGACTCCGCCAACCACCGTTTGCTAATGGTGTTGCTTGACTGATGGTTGCAATCGCAGGATCAATCACAGAGTTGCAGGTAAGCCACTGACATTACTTCAATTCCTGTGAAAGCAAAAGATCAGGCCAGCCTTGGAGTATGTCTCAGTTGGCTGCTGGCGAGAAAACATTGAGTCCCCTTGGATTCCCAGCATTGAAGGCTGGAACTTGGAAGTGCCAAGATGATCGTCACTTTTTTGCTACCGCTGTTACTCTGTTACAAAGCAGAAGTACGTCACTTGTGTGCTGCTCATTTTAGGATATATGTATATATATATATATATTTGATACTGCTGTCAGGACAGTCGCTGCCGTATGGAATTAATTACCTTACCGGCATCCCAGAAAATCGCCCAGATGCGATCACTGCGCACCTGGTCGATACAATCAATCCTGTTTGTTGAAAACTGCAACACGGACTGTGTTGAATGGAGAGAGGCTGGTACATGTTGGATTATATAAATGTTTTCTGATGAAAGTCTTTCTTTGCGATTGAGACAGTTTTTGTGAGACAGTTTGCCCAGGTGTGCCATGGCAACCCTGAGACTGGGGTACGAGGTTTTTTGCCATCCGGCAGATGGGTGTTTGTGCCACCTCCCCAGATGCACACCTCTATTTTCGGCATCTTGGATGCAGAACCGGGGCTGTGCACATAGGACTGAGTACGCACTCTCATCCTCGAAGCTCATCATGCACAGATGTATTATTCTTGCTGCGAAGACAAACATGTCTACTAATTATGTATATTTAGACACATCATGCTGTCTCATTCCACGCACTTGAATTTGGTCAACAGAGGTTTGAGGGCTCTTCCACATCTTGCTCAGAAGGTAAGGGTGGTGCTCGCGACAACTCAGTCTACAGGTGCGCCATGAACCAAACAAAGTTGTTTTAGCCTTGCATGTCAATGTCAATCCTTTGCAGGTTTGCTCGTCAGGGGATGATGACTCAGCAACAGGGTTTGGTGGGCAGCCCAGATAAGGCATGAATCGAGGTCAGAAGGTCAAACCATCAAGCATGCATGAGACGTCTGACCCCTAGACCTTTGGTCCACTCATTCTCATGACGCTTTGCTTCGGAATACAACATTGCTGTGTCAGATGATTTAACAAGTGGCAGTGCTCATTGATCTCCGACTACCGTGAAGGTCTATATCATTGCTGGTCGAGAGAGCAGAGCTGGTTTCTCGGGTGACCAAGGCAGGACAACACGATGCAAGGGAAGAACGCAGTGAGTACATGAGTTCTGTTTTTGTTCACCAAAATATCGGGATGTAGAGAGGTGAAGCGCATTGCGCACACTATATATACATGGCCAATTCTGCCTGCGTTGCATGTATTTTTGCAAGTTCGATCCCATGCCCGTGAATCCTTTCCTGTAAGTCTTGTTGGTTGGACAAGGTATGCTCTTCATGGCCCAGTCAATTCCATCACTGTTATTGCCTAACATCTACCTGCTGAGCTGATACGGCATATTGCCTACGGAGGGAGAATCATGCCACTTGCAGCTTTCAGGCACCGCTTGGGTCACCGAGCTCAACAGGCAAGTGACAAAGATGGAAATCCAAAGATAAGGATTTGAGCGGAGTTTAAAAGTAAAAAGGATCTGCTTGTTTGGTTTTAAGTACTGCCAGTTCTAAGTTGCGATGGCTGTAGTGACCTTCTTGCAAGGCCACATGGGCTTGGTGTTCACCCAATCACCAAGGACAAAAGCAACTGTCGAACGTTTGTACAAAAGCAACTGCTTGACGGGAACAAACTGCATCCACTTGTTGAAGATCACTGGTGGGACGACAGAAGCTTTGGCAAAGGACCTGTATGTGGCTGACTCTGGCAATCACCGCTTGCGGCTGATCTTCAGACAAGTTGGTTCGTAGCCTAGCAACGCAACAAGGCTTCAATTTTCAATGTGCGCATATTTACACAGGCATGACCGTCTGAGTCACAAAGCACACTTGTCATGTGATGAGTCGTTACAGCCAAGCGGGGACAGGTGTTTGCCGTGTCCTAGGTCCAAATCCTGCTCACTCTGGAAAGTGCACCAATGGCTTCCCCTGTGAGGTGGGGAGAGTTTTCCAACAAGCGATGCAAGCATAACAATGTTCGCTACTAGGGGCTCCTGGCATCGCTACTAGGAACAAGGACGCTACTAGGGGCTCTTGGCCTTACTACTAGGAGCAAGGACGCTACTAGGAGCAACAAGCGATGAAAGCATTGCAACCCTTTCAGGTGGAGATCACGGGGAATGGGCTCCAACCGCAGAACCAACTTGCCATCATGCCACTCTCGCAGGAATGTGGGCAGGCACACGTGTGGCGAGAATCATGGAGATGCATGATTGATTAGACAGTCTAAAAACTCATCAGGTTCTGAAAGCTGTGAACTTCGCCACACTGAGTATTCTCTTGGATGTTAAGAGATGTTAAGTATTTGTTTCAAGGAGGTTTTGCATTCCTCATTCTCTCAGATTCTTTCATTCGTTGTGTTGCGGTTTCCTTCATAGGGGTCAGAGGTCGGCTTTCCATTGGCAAGCGTCCCTCCCCTCCAGGGATTTTTTCAAAGCCATATTATCCCCATGACCGTCGTTTCTTGTCAGATTGTTTTTGAATTGTTTCCCACTCGGTAGTTGGATCTTGGCTTGAATTCCACATGATGTGACAAAGCCTTTCATTCGGCACCTGCTGTGCCGCGGCCAGTCTGATGTCATCTTCCAAGTGGGCGTTGGAAGAAATCCCACCCTTGAAGTGCCGTCGCCATGGGCTTAGCTGGATCAAAACGCAGAGCCCATTGGAGTGTAGATTTTTGAACGGTTCTTTCAACTTGTAGTAAACTATAGTAAACAAAAGTAGTAAACTTTGGTGCTACTTTCCTATCCAGGATAGAGTCCACCAATGCCCTTGTGATTGGCAGGCCATCTTTCACTCGGAAAACTTACAACTTTGGTCCACCCTTCGTCCTCCTGACTTGTTTGGCTGCTAGGAAGATTGCTGCGGCTGGTGTGGTAATTGGAGTCGGGGAGTGCCTAGGTGACCATAGCTGTTCGCACTCTTTCAGAATCCTCGCAGACTGGGAACAAGATTGGGACCAGGGCAAACCCACTCAAAATCGAGATATTTGGTGCATTAAACTACCCATCTCCCGCTGATAAAGTAGCTGTGTTTGCAGTAGCTGAGCGGCTGTGTGAAACTGAGACCAAAGGTGAGTAAACATTCTCTTGTAGACTGTATTGGGATGTTCACTGGGGGCCATGAGTCTTTGACAGCCACACAAAAGCTGACTTGATCCACAGCTATTTTAAGTGCCGCTGTGGCAGGTGTCCAGAACAGGGCACTATCGCCTTTGCTTTTGCGTAAAGGATGCAGTTCACAGCTTGGCACAGGGGTCAAAACCGACGGACTGATGTTATGAGATTAGCACTTGCCTGCTTGTAGATAGCTTGTTCCAGATACTTGTTAAGCACAGGAAAATGTACGCATAGTGGTGTGATTACATAATAGAATACATCCAAAGTAGCAGGAACTGATGGGATAGATTGCGTGTGAAGCGGATGCAACAAATGGAATGAATGGTCAAGGTGGTCTTTGGACAAATTACCCCGTGCACTGCTCCGGAGTTCTTCATCCACGATGCAGGAAGTGTCCGGTACCCGAGATTCAGTGTTGAGTTTCGAGCATCATCTGCGTGGTCCTTTTAAGGTTCAGGTCTTTTCACTGCAACACAGATCCTGTCTTTTCCAAACCTGTCCGTCTTTCTTTCGGGCGAAGTTTGAGGTGCTCATTGTTGGTCCTGACAGCCGCACAGATGATGCCGAAGTGGTGGAAGGAATGGCAGACGACTCAGAAATCTCAGATTCTCCGAGTCCAACGGAACTCCAGAGGCTTCACACCTTTTGTCGTCATCCGATTGCAGTGAGATGTTTTTTTTCTTTTTGAATGCTTTAGTTGCTGAACTCGCTTCTTGAACTGACCTTCCTGCGCTTAGCCTGGACGCCCCTTTTCCTTGGCGATCTTCGGCACGGAGCTCTCAATCTTTGACCGAGTGCGATTGGCTGGACTGCCCAGTGATCTAGAGCACCACCTAAAGTACACCAAAGCTTTTCAAATGGTCTCAGACTTGCACCAGAGAGTGCCAACTGAGTGTTCTGTGGGTATTAAGCTAAACTTCCCAAATCTCTAGAAACCATATCATGAAGGCTTAAGCTTAGAGGCTTAGGCTTGAGCTTCCACCCGACGAGGGTCCCCTAATTGAGCAAAAAACATCTAAAACCAATGAGTCGTTTTTTCGGATGAGAACGCCCAGTTTTGGCATGGCAGTTCTATCGAGGTGAACAACTCGCAGCCATGTGGAGTTCCTGGTGCCGAGGCAAATTGGGTTGTGGAGCTCCTGTGTTTTGGTTTTTGGTTCGGATAATTTCCAGTTGCAGATTCCCGCTCAGCAACCACTTGAGATTGGAAGACTGCTGCAATTGCTTCAACCACAAAAATGCCAGACATGTGCAAACACACACAATGAACTTGGGAACTTCGCTGATTTTGTACTTTGCGAGGTCTTTGCAGAGGAGGTACAAAGCAGGAGTGTCCTCGCAGGGTGGTCCTGGCCAAGCTTCATCGATTGCGCAGCTGAATCAAACTGAAGCAACCTCCAATCAAACTGACAGTGGCAGTCTGACAGGCGCCGGCATTTAGGGAATGAATCCTTCAGCCTGTGGGCCAATGTGACCCTCAAAGCATCTGGTGCATTCCGGCTTTGTCCGAGACCAAGATCACGAAAGGTAGCTTCAGCTACCTTGATTCTATTCATGGCCCCCCTCCCTTCATCATCATCATTATCATCATCAGCATGTTTCATCATTGTCATTAGTAATTAATCATCATTTCATTTTCCTCCTCGGCTCGTCTGCACTTTACTAGATTTGCCAGGGCATTTGTTTTGGGACCACTTTTTGGGGATATTACTCACACAGCATGGCTCACGCTTTCCGACTTAGGTTTCATCATCGTCACCATCGTCATCATCGTCATCATCTTCCTTTCGCTACGCCATCTGTGACGAAAGAGGTGGCGTTGACCCCTAACTGCGTACTTCGTACCGCGTACGGTCACTCAATAGAGCTGCAGGGCCAGTTGCTCAGAAGATATGTTCGCTTGGTCTAACTGCTTTGC